TACTGCAACAACTTTTTGGAAATTAAGAACCTTTAAAACAGAGGCATATATTCAAACCCATAACAAACTAGTAAAATGGAACAAGCTTGGCTGCAACTGATATTACCCTAGGGCTGTGTGGAAGACTTCTATACAGGGCTGAGGGCAGAAATCCCTTCACTTCAGAAACTTTAATGGTATATGGATAAATTGTTCTATTAGTGCAGTCTGACGTCATTTAATCAACTTGCATACGGACTTCACAACAAGGACAAGCCTCACATATATATAACTATGAAACTTCTATTTTGAAACCTAAAGCAGGAATCACAATCACTATCACGGAGATCAATGCACCTTTGCATATAGTTACAACACTTCCGTAGTTTGTTATATAAGTTGCCGGAAGTCACCCAAAATTGCCAAGAACACTTCCATCTATATCCAACGACTATATGTGCGGTACAGAAACTAGCCGGCTGATATGAATTAGGGAGTCATAATTTATCACCCTTCAAGGTCCCTTAAGGGTGAGTAGTCAGAGAGGTAGTGGTCCTCAACGTTCACAGAGATGTAGTGACGGCGCACACCATTTTCGACATGAGCAGATATGGAAATTGGTGTTAGTGGAGTCACACGGCACACTGCCTACACATTCATAGCTGCTGGATAATACAGAAGATAAGTACTGAGGCAAAAACGTACATGTATTAAGAGAGAGAAGGCAGTACAAGTCGAGGAAGGAGCAAAACTAGTTCAAATCTACTCAAATTGTGTATAAGCGGGTTCCTGTTTCCCCTCTGGGTCTCGTGGTATTTTATTTGGGGTCCCTATAACCAGGAAAGAGTAGAACGCACACATAAGGTCATACGACAAACTCGTGTTAGCAAGGGGTTTTGATTTTATTTGAGTTGCAACCGTATCGCTTGGAACGTACATACAGACGGTGGATTCTTCCTGGCATCTCCAATCCGATCGAGAATGCTTTGGCGTTGCAGCAACCGCTTTTATTGATAAACTGATAGGGAGTTATTGGTCTACTCTTATTTCTCCATTCGCGGACAGGCGAGCTTGAACACCGGTTGTATTTTCTCATAACCTCGTTCAAATTTTCTTGTCTTAGACTCTCCACATAGTCTAGATAGTTGATAACTGACTGAACGGTAGTCAAGCCAACGGCCTCAGGTTTAAGAAACATCTTCGCAATGTACTTTGTTTAGACTAGTTTTTGATTTGACCTGGTAATCTGACTACTTCTGAAAACTTTTTCCCTGATACCTTAAACAGAGGATTGAGTGATTTTCGATGTTTGAATCAGTACAACGAGGGGCTCCTATATTGTTCACACAATGTTTATCGAGAAGCAGAAGAAAGCCTGGTTTATCCGGTATCGCCACCGCAAAGTTCCTCCCACCCCCTACCACTGTAAAGTAGTTACGTGTAAAGTGTATTTTGGTTATCTTTTGGCAAGTAAGTAATGGCCATGTGACCTATCAGTGACTTACACGCCACACCATCGATGTTTACTCAAATGCACGCTGATAGTGTCCCCCCGATTGGGGGCGACGTTTTTTGCCAGCTACTTGCCAGCCTAATCGAGCAAATCACCAGTCACCCTGTCATCCATTGGTGAAAGCAACCTAGCTCTCCGTAGTTCGACATATTTTCGATACTGGCTTGATGTAGTGTTTACCACTTGGTTTGGTATTACTGGTGAACGTCTCCGCTGAGGGGTTATTGGAAAATACAAACTGAACAGTTTCAGACTATTGGACAGGAAAGCAAAGCTCTCATACACATCTTGTTTATAAGAACTGTGTATGCGCCTTCTTCTCGAACGCGTCTTCGTAAGATTCCCTGGATACTCATTGACTATCACTCGGGCGTAAGCGAATGCTACAAAGCGATTTTACAGATTTCATTATAAATCTTACTATTCAGTTGTCGGCGACGCAAAAAAAATTTGTTTTTCGTGTGGTTAAACAGTACTTTAAAAGGCTGCTCGATGATAACCAGTACGATTACGGCAAATCAGTAGTTCTGTCGACAAATTTTCCCGTCCTAAGCCTCACAATGTCGCATTCCCCCTCTTGTAAGTTGAAAACTTCCGCGGTTATAGAGTCCGTTACTTTTGACCTCGACCTCGTGGCACATTTCTCTGAGTACACCTTTTATTATTTTGTAAGTTATGTTGTTCAGTAAAAGACCGAGTACTGATGCAAACTTCATGCAGACCCGCCCATACTGCGTCCAAAACTCACCTACAAACAACTTTAGTCACATCAAGTGTAATCTTAGCGGACAGAGTAACGCATGCCTCAGGTTGAACGGCGTAGTTTTGCGAACACGCTGAACTGCGTGCCCTCGTAGCAAAGATGTATAATGAGGAAAGTGATTGCTGTGTATCTTATATTTAATGGTCAAGCCAGAGGATCCATCAAATACTAGGGAACGGTGATTCACAATGAAACAGAACCTTGATAATTCGGCGGAGAGCATTAGGTCATGTGGCCACTCTCTTCAAACTTGTTCAGTCTTTTCCAACACGAGTGCATCGTCAATCCAAGTTTCAGAAATGTACCGCGAAATTTACTCCTTTTCAATCACTGGTCCCCGCAGGTATTCCGGTATTGATATGAACTAAAGTAAAATGGGTAAAATGCACCCTTTTGGCAAACTGAAGATCCCCGGATTGCTCTCGCTTATCATTGTTGGTTCACAGCTTGCCCCTTAGTTTGAAATGGCAGACAATGGCAATTTCCAAATATATTTGCTCCGAAAACCTTTTATGTTGCACTTGATGTTCATCAAATTTCTGGTGGATGTGTCACGCGAACAAAAGAGCTGCGTGCTTTACCATGCAGATTTCGTCACTTTGGAATACGAAGCCAGCTGGTGGATATCTTAGTGAATTGTACTAATTACATCGTCTGATGTCGATGTTTCACTCAACTGCTGTTTACTCGGTGTTATCGTTACTGTTCTGTTACTACACTCTCTCTATCGGCAGAAGGACGTGATATGACGGTATTTCTGTTGTTTTTCAGGTAGTCCCCCGGATGTTTTTGGTATTGCAGTCAGAAGCGGAGCTCACTAGCAAGTGGACATGGGCTGTCAACACAGGAAGACCAGTTCAACTCAGGCGTTGAAATCTCTGAACTCTACTGAAAGACTGCAGCCAGAAAATAAATATGCGTAATCCCCACGACTGTTGGACCAATACCACGCTTTTATGCTACCAGACTTCCAAACTTAGACAGTACAGGAATCTCCGCAGTGGAAATGTTCATCTGCTACCGGACCTTCTACGGTGTTTCTGTGGAGAAATCGGGCAACTACTAAGTCGGTTTTGTTTAACGCAACCTCACCGGCATTGTACTCACGAAATAAAACTTTGTCTCAACCAGCTGTATTTAGCTGGAATAGCTGCGCACTCACCTACCTCTACATCAGCTTCCACCGTCAAGAGAAGTTTCTCTGATGGGTGAAAAACCATAGTTGCCAGAATGCCCAGGCGCGATAGACTGTTAATTACGATTCTACTCATTACATCCTTAGCTAATTCAGCCTGAAACAACAATTGGCCGGTCAGTTTCACTGTATCCAACCAGTTTACCATCACCAATACGCTCTTTCAGCCATATAAACTGCCGTAACAGCAAAACAAAGCCCCTGGCAGCCAACCATTTTCGCCACCCTTAAAATTGGATATTCTCGGTTAATGAACAGTAGTTTGCATTTAAAACACCCATAAGACAATCCTTAGAAGACCATTTTGGGTAGACAGACAACGAAATAACCACTGGTTTTCGGTAATAACGATGCGCTTATCGGAAATGGATCTTGATCTGCGCAGACCATCTTGTGCCCGCCGTTCGTGTGCAACAATAGTACGGGCACCTGCGAAGCCCACATTTCTTGTCACACACAAAAAACATTTGCCGGAAAATAAGCTAATAATAGCAAATTGCTATGCGCAGTTTTAGGTGTTGGTTGAAGCTCATCAGCTTGTGATTAGCTTCGTCCGACTAAGACGAACCATAAATGGGTTCGTTTTTTCTTATATGGTTGTCACAATTCACTGGTGCTAAAAAGTACCTGAAAAGCCAGATGCATATGTAACCGTTTCCGGCATTTTCGGGAAGGTCCAACGGTGCGTATTTTTTTAGGCTAAACTTTGTTTTACCGGGGTTTTCTGCCACCTTATTGAGTCTAATTCGACATCAGCTATCGAAAGAGCGCAAACAGCATCTTATATCCTCTAAGTTCAACTCAACAGTAGGCTCGTGAATGTAGTCACGAAGTTCTCCAATAGACTGTTCAATGGAGGTGGAACAAATTTCTTCAAGTAATGGAACTGATGTACCTAATCCAGCAGAATTGTCATGTTTCCACAGATCCCCAAAAGGAAGACATTTAAGTAGAGTCACCGTGTATCAATAATCTGTTATCAGTTGCATATAGCTTTTGACAGTCGTATGGCGAGCCGTTGCTACTCAGACGCCCTGTCCGATTAAGAACATTAGGCGCCGTAATTTTTGCAAAAGTATCATTGCAGTCACACTGAGTATGCACCATATTTGCAAAATGCATTTTTATACTCTTACACCAATTCCTACCGTTGAAATACGATGATTCAGAGCATTTTGTGTTCAATCTATTCATGTGTATATAATTATTACATAGATGAAATTATACCGTCCGCTGTATGATTGCATGATTTAACCATTTTGAAGTAGTGGAACCTCAAAGTTCCCAGTTTCTTTGGCCTTATATATATATATATAATGTACCTGCACCTTTGTGGTACTAAGTTGGAACACTTAATTTATTGGAAGACTGGCCATAAATTCCTTGTTTGCAAACGAGACGCATTATAATCGTTCGTAACTACAAATTGGAAAACAGACTCTTGAATTCTTGAAGGTTAACGGTTGACATGGAAGCCTTCGTTTTATCGCTGCTCAAGTAGTCCATCATCTCAGGATGAACATCATTCCATTAGTACTGTACCTCGCAGAATGGTGAGACGCTACATTCTGCTTCGGTTTTGTGTGAAGGAGCAGATGATGAACGATCTGATACACCTAGGTTGGTAACGCATAAATGTAAAATCTAAATAAAAAAACATAATGGAGGTTGAATAAAAGTTGTTGTTTCATTCTTCGCCTAGGATGACTGATCGCTGTTGGAAAAACAGCGAAAACACCGTTGCCTGGGTAGGCGGTTGCGCGTGGAATTAGAGAGGGATCGTGTTTCGGAGACAGTTCTGGCATCTGGAGCAAAAAAATGGTTGGGCGTTATCAGAGTGTAGCATAATCAGTTCTGTACTTCGTAGCGTCAAACCAGGGTGCGCACCAACATTCAGATCAAGCGCATTTCCAATCGGCCTGGTCACATGAGGCTGTGAACTGTATCCCTGCCCTTCACCAAGACCTACGAAGTAGGGCCACTACGTACCATAGTATAATTAATAAGCCTACAAGTTACTCCTCTCTTCATACAGTGACTGGCTGACTGATTAACTGACTGACACGCTGAAGGAATGAAGGACAGAAGAATTGAATGAATGAATTGCTGACTTTAGGATGGATGGTTCGATTAATTGGGCGGCAATCATTCAAAAAATGATCTCTTTGGTGATCAGATCACTTCGAGAATAATTGCAGTGCATCATTTGCAAAGAAGCTCAGTTGAAATACACAGTTAAATTCATTCGCGTATTGTTACGTAGCCAGACCTCAAATGGAGAGAGATATCAGTTCACTGCAAGTATAATCTAACTGCCTCATCTATATTTGAATTGTGGCAGGAAATTGATTAGATTCTTCACGTGAACGGTTTCCAGTTGGAGAGAATTCAGTGATGCCTCCAACCCACAACTTGGTTCTCGTCCTCCTATGCCTGGCAACGCTACTACTTCTTTCTGTGTTTGCAAAGCATGACAAACCAGCAGTAGATAAGGCCAAATTATCCCGCTGGCTGACTGCGAAAGCATCTATCCACAATCCTCCGATTCCCCCAATGATGGGATTAACTTTTGAAAATTTCGTGGGTGATTATGGCTTGAAAATAACATTTCAACAGTTTCAAAAAAAGTACGACTGCTACCACTGCACAAACTGTGATCTACAGAGAGGTGGCAAACAGCCTGTTAGGAGTGGGTGCAACGAATGCGTGGTAAGTTTGCTAAGCATTCTATCGTATGAACGCTCGACTCTAGGTGTTCATTGGTAACTCAAAACGTTCGTTCGGCAACGCATACCTGAACGAAATTGTTTTTTAATCGATTGTGGTTCGCAAATTTGATGAAGTGTAGTAGATATTGGTAGTAAAGCATCAGTGTGGCTAATGCTGATTCTCAAAACGTTTAAGTCCAGTGCTCTAAGTTTAGTCTAAATGAGTTGACTTTATTCTCTACGAGTCACTCTGGTGGCCAGGACACACGGCGTTTATATTCATCCGGGCTTTGTTGCTAAGATTATTGGAGCGTCCATGTATACACTATCGCAAAACCTAGGACCCTTGTTCGAGACTATAATCGTCCGCGTACTGGAGGCTTAAATTCACGATGTAAGATCATCTAGTTGGTTCACTGTGCAAAGTTTCTGGTCCGAAATGTGTGGTCTTTTCAACATTCCACCTAGCTGAATTATCATACTATCAAGTAAACCAAACTCTCCATGCTTAGATCCTCTCAGTTAGCTTTCTATGAGGGCTTTGTCCTACATTTAAGATGGACAAAACTTCTGTACTAGCACCCTACCATAACCTAAATGTGGGGAGAATGTCTCCACCGATGTTAGACCAGTTTGCCTTGTTTGAACAATTCACTCTACATTGCTATGTAGATTATTTCTGACTAACTCACAACCTTAAGCAAACTGTTCGTTATTTCTTCACCTCATTGGCATTGCCATAAATTCATTTCCTGAGGTTTGTAATCATTTTGAAGATTGCGAAACCGATGTTACCTTCTTTGTCAGAAGGTAAAGTCTTTTAGAGACTTTCAAAAAGTTAATGACATGAACTCAATGAAACCAGAATTTAGCTTCAGGAAGTATAGTCAAATCTTGTTCGAGACACGTTATCAGCTAAATTGTGTTATGATTTCAAGAGATTTAGACTATTGATTGGCACTTTATTGTTGCTATTTCTATTCCCATTTATGGTAGAAAACTTGTCTGGAAAGGCATAATTCATTTTAATCCCACACCCTTATTAATGTTGAAGGGCTACGGTAAATAATTACTGAAAATCTCCAGAGGTTCAAGATTTTTCAGATGCTCATTACAAACTCTATACTCACCACCGCAAATCTACCAGGAACAATGAACGGGCATGTTTTTACCTCATCTGTAGATAACGATAGCAAACCAGTCATATCTGAGGCCAATTATTTGACCACGAAAGATTTTGATCAAATCGGCACACCACGTAATACTGTGAGCATCCTCTGTTTGTTACACATTAAGCCTCTTGGGTGAACAAACTCCTGATTTGCGAAACAATCCTAAAGGATCAGTGATAAAACCAAAAGAAAGAGTTCAAACATATTTGTTCACGGATGTCTTGCGACTCGGTGCCGTCACTTTTACCCGGCAGTGCAGTCAAAACCGCGTCTTTCTTACGTACTATTTCTATCCACTTCTGCTCCTTCATCCACGTAGCTGATTACTCAGCCAGATCAATCCTCAGACCGCCTTTGTAATCAAGGCACAACCTCCATCTGCAAGAACCAGAAAACCGCTTACTGCTGTCAGGGATATCTATGCAACTTCTCTCATCCAAGTCAGCGAGGTACTGACTGGCGACTAGTCTGTGTTGTGACGACCGGAATGCTCATTATTTCGAATTATCTATGGTGATACATTGTCAAATTGCACCATTTACGTTCTTTGTTTTCTGGTGGGCAGTTCTTTCTGGATTGAAAATTTTGGGGGGGCTGCTTAGGCCCGCAAGCTGCATCCCTGCAAAAATAAATGACCTGTTTGAAGAAATCTACTATGCCGCAGTTAATAGGGATCATAAAATTTCATTTTTATACTTATAAAAACTAACCTTCCGCCAAATCACTATTTGGAATCAACCTGAAACAGAATACCCTCGCGTTTAATGTTATGTTTACCATCTATGGCTCGTGGAGACATCAAAATTTGAAGTTGCCTCACCAACATGCCGGTAATTTGTTTCTCTTACGCGCTGAATGCTGACTATCCGTCTCAACTTCAGACATCGCTGACAGACTGTGTTACAACTAAAACTAGTCAAAACCCTAGCTATTGATGAAGTGCGAGTAGGAAGTTTGCATTTGTACGCAAATGATGTTTTCTGAACTGTCAGCTGCTCCGGTGGAAACAGAGAGGTGGCCAACCCTTGACCTGGCAGAGGAGTATGCAGGAGATTACGAAGCGTTTGGTTGCTGTCAGTCCTGCTCCCTTTCCGGGATGTGGACCGCGTGATCCCCACTACACTTGGTTGGAGGTACTGAAAGATACGACTGTCAGCCGATATAAGTGACGTTCGTATGGTCAGTTTCTAACCAGATTGTCTGAGTGAGTGTCTGGAGGTGTAAGCACCTCGGAATGATTGTATTAGGCGAGCGCTAAATCCCTTCTCGTTGTTCAAACATATTTGTTCACGGATGTCTTGCGACTCGGTGCCGTCACTTTTACCCGGCAGTGCAGTCAAAACCGCGTCTTTCTTACGTACTATTTCTATCCACTTCTGCTCCTTCATCCACGTAGCTGATTACTCAGCCAGATCAATCCTCAGACCGCCTTTGTAATCAAGGCACAACCTCCATCTGCAAGAACCAGAAAACCGCTTACTGCTGTCAGGGATATCTATGCAACTTCTCTCATCCAAGTCAGCGAGGTACTGACTGGCGACTAGTCTGTGTTGTGACGACCGGAATGCTCATTATTTCGAATTATCTATGGTGATACATTGTCAAATTGCACCATTTACGTTCTTTGTTTTCTGGTGGGCAGTTCTTTCTGGATTGAAAATTTTGGGGGGGCTGCTTAGGCCCGCAAGCTGCATCCCTGCAAAAATAAATGACCTGTTTGAAGAAATCTACTATGCCGCAGTTAATAGGGATCATAAAATTTCATTTTTATACTTATAAAAACTAACCTTCCGCCAAATCACTATTTGGAATCAACCTGAAACAGAATACCCTCGCGTTTAATGTTATGTTTACCATCTATGGCTCGTGGAGACATCAAAATTTGAAGTTGCCTCACCAACATGCCGGTAATTTGTTTCTCTTACGCGCTGAATGCTGACTATCCGTCTCAACTTCAGACATCGCTGACAGACTGTGTTACAACTAAAACTAGTCAAAACCCTAGCTATTGATGAAGTGCGAGTAGGAAGTTTGCATTTGTACGCAAATGATGTTTTCTGAACTGTCAGCTGCTCCGGTGGAAACAGAGAGGTGGCCAACCCTTGACCTGGCAGAGGAGTATGCAGGAGATTACGAAGCGTTTGGTTGCTGTCAGTCCTGCTCCCTTTCCGGGATGTGGACCGCGTGATCCCCACTACACTTGGTTGGAGGTACTGAAAGATACGACTGTCAGCCGATATAAGTGACGTTCGTATGGTCAGTTTCTAACCAGATTGTCTGAGTGAGTGTCTGGAGGTGTAAGCACCTCGGAATGATTGTATTAGGCGAGCGCTAAATCCCTTCTCGTTCATCTTTAGTCTTTTCTTTACAATAAGGCTTTCAAATAAATCATGGTTGTATGGCAGTAAAGCATCGGTGTTGAACACTGATGTCATGCTGTCGATGATGATGATGATGAGGAGGAGGAGGAGGAGGAATAAAATGATATTACCAAGAAGTCACACTAACTGAACATAATTGGCTTTTCAACCGTCCTAAGCCACCCCGAAGCCTACACTGACATCATTGGACGGGTACATTGAAAATATTCTAAAATTTGCCACTCGAGAACCAATCTCAGCCTGCGCATTATGCAGGCTGAGTAGATACATGTAGCTCACAAGCAAATTGCCGCACAAGTTTTGATTCGGTGTCATATCGGGCCTGTAGACAAGATCGCTGGTTCTTAAGATCTCCACTCTATACAAGTAAACCCAGATTGAAACTTCAGATATTCTTTTCGTTGAATATACGTCAACATCAGTCTCTATCAAAAAACACTTCTCAGGAATGGTCATGCAAGCACATTTGTACGGAGAGATGTGTACGGTTAGCCTGACGATTCAAACCACGGTCCGATAATTCTTGTGGTTGTGTTCGCCTGTAACCCGTCGGACTACTTAAAAACACCTGTGGACGGCTTTGAAGTTTTTTGTTTGAATACCTATCGCTTCCCCCAACTGCTCTGGATCAACTGTTCTACTTGGTCCACATCAGAAAGAGATTAGCCTGATATTCTCATCCATCACACAAAACGCTCAAGCAAGAACAGGTTTCGGGAGTAAACTTGGTGAGTTCAGCAAACTCAGTTGATAGTGCAGACAAACCTGTCTCGGGTGTAAATCGTCTCACTGGGTGGAATAGACACAGTTGACAGCGTCTGATAACAAGAGTACTCGAATTAATCACCTCCTTTTTTACTATGAACTAACTGGCATGATAGGGCAGGGGAAGGATATTCCTAACACCAAGAGGAGGTTCGTGGTTTTATTCAGGGGTTGGTCGGCACTGGAACAAAGCTGATGGCGGGCATATCTCTTTTACCAGCTGACAACCCATTCTTAAGGATGGAATAATGGCTGATAAATTGCAGGCGTGACTGTGGTATGGAATAATGATTTTGAGTATGGTGATACGGTATTACTCCGCCATTTTTACATTATTATATTATCATATTTTATTGTATCATTTTATTAATTTATTGTTATAATAGTATTAACTACTTCCGTAAGTTGGAAACAACTACTGAGTAGAGACTTCTGACCTAAGGTGTCATAGATTCCATTTCTAGGACTACAGACCTGGGTTTCTGGGATCTAATTCACGCAGTTGGCGCTGCCTTCACCTATCAAAAGTCAAATCACATTATGTATCTCGCTAAACCGTTGGTTTGTAATCTTTGTTCTTTGTTTATGGGGTTGTAAAAATTGTTCAACGAGGGCAGCAATACTCTGTGTTGTGCTGAAACCGCTAAAATAAGCACACGTCAAAGCTTATTCCCGCACGTAACTCTACGAAACTGTGTTACACGATCATGTACAAAAGTTGCGAAAAGATGCTATACGCACGTATGCTATATACAGGTCAAATTCAGGAAGGAACAAGTCACAACAGAAGTAACTAACGGGATATTGTAAGTCAATCAGCGGAATCATTCTGCCAACAGATTAGGAATGTAAGCAGAGGAAAATGAGGCAAGTTTTTATAAAATACCGTGCCCTTCATATTCAGAATTCCTCAAATGGGGTTCCAGGATATGATGTAGATGTTTCGTGTGCAAACGCACTAGTACGACTTCGGAGCTCTGGAACAGATATCTTGCCATCATTATCAGCATCGATAATAGCAAATATATTTTTGGCTTCAACTGCTGCCATTGAAGATGCATCTGAAACGTAAGAGTAATTAGTCCCGAAGGGGAACTCGTTCCGCTGTATTCAAACAAAAGGAAGCAAACTCCCGAACTCATGACAAATAATTCTTTATAATGTGTGAATTGCAGTCCTCACTTAAGAGAAATAAGTTTGAAGATAGACCACAGTAAGTAGTAAGGTTTTGGCATGTTGTGATATGAATTCAACATTGCATTAATTACTGCATGAGACCGACGGCAAAAGCCCCAAATAAAGCAAACAAATATACGTATTTTATTTCCACACGACAGCACTACTGTCATGCATGCGCAAACGGCTGTTGCCTTGCGTGTAATTTTCCGGGGTATATTGCATATCCATGAATGAATTGTCACGCTTGCGCCCAAATCGAACGGCGCGTTAAGCAAATTGGTGTAATCCAGTTTGCTTGACATCAATTATGTCTGCATTACCAGTCAACTTAACCAAAAAGTTTGAGCTTCAATGGACATCCATACACGAAACTCCAATGATCTCAAAACTAAATCTGGAACAGCCAAAATAAAAACAAACTCAGCTGACGGTGTGGGTTTAGACGCGTTATACTCGAAATTTCCTGGCTAAAGTTTAGGAGGTATTGTACAACAATTCCCCATATAAATACCAGCTCTTGGCGTGTCTACAACGACAACCACACCAATCATGTTGCAGGTACATAATTTACTAAAGAGTCAAGAGGTGTTCAGAAACGTAATTATTTTTGATATTCTAACTTCGTCGCTCATCCAGTGGTAAAGTAACATCAGTGCCGATGCTGATGTTTCACTACCACGAAATGCGGAGTTTCCGTTGGTAACAGACTGGCTATGTTGGTAATTGAGCTCTACTGACCAAATTGCACAGCATTTCCTTACACAAGCTTACTTGGAAATAACCATTGTTTTAGTTCATCCACAGTCAACCTGTTGTCATGGTTTTTATCCAGTTTGGCAAACTGGTCAACGAGATCATCCAATTCGTTTGAATTTTGGGTTCCAGCTAAAAGTGACAAAACATTACTTTGAACACGGTTTAAAAAAGATGAGGTTTCCAGAATTCGCACCAAAGCATTCACGGTAGCCCGGACCAAGCAGATGGGCCCAAATTTAAACTGAGTTCAATTTCTTGCACACTGTAAAAATGGTAATACTTAAGGCAATATATTAGTGTATCCTAGCAGACGCATATGATATGAGTCACTTCAAAGTGATACTTGGTAGGGTGAGGAGTCACAGAATTACGAAGATAGATTTTCTGGTGGACATTAAGCAATATTTGCAATTCCGACGAATTAGATTCTGCCTTTTCTGATGATTGGTACAGGACAGTGGCGCTGCTAAAAAGAGTACTCAAATCGCAAATATCTGTTAAGGTGCTGGTAGCATGAAAGTTCACAAAACACCTTGAGAAGTCATTGAGTCAGGCCCTGAGAGGAAAGTGGTACTTCTTCTAAAGTGACCTAGAAATAAACGGGTGCACATACATAGTTGGGGAACATGTCACAACAAGCCTGCACATGGGACTACTGGGCAGAGAAATCACTCCTATTGTGAAAGCACAAACGTTTGCTAAAACAAAGTCGGATATGGGGGTCAAATATTGTTCTGGGCCGGGTTAATTTGAGTGAACAGAAGTTAACGAACCCACCCAAAGTGCCTCTATAACTTGCAACATCAATAAGGAAAAAGGCCGTGGAACACTGCGACATCTCGAAAAGAGGCAACCTGACTGGATGGAGAGTTAAACCGACACATTAGATACACAAATGTTCAATTTATAACTAGCGCATCAGTGATCGTAGGGGCCAAGAACTGGGAGGCTTATACCTAAAGATGGAACCATAGCACATTAAACGTCACTGTTTTTAATGTTGAATAAAATAGCCACCTCGAAGGCAAACTGCACCCGGCCAGCAAATAAGTCCTGAATCACAGAAAGCCGCAATGCTTCTTGCCTAATTTTGGCAATCCCCTGTAAGCAAACAGAAGGTGTACAATCATATCATGTGTATCTGGTATTGAACAAACCGAAAGAGCCGACTGTCGATTTTACGGTTTTGTGAGTCTTTATCAGAACACTCCCAGATTAATCAATATTTGAACTATATCTGTCCCACGGGGTAAGAATCAGTTATAATAAAACTTCTGTTTAATCTTCCTCGGTGATTTCATCTAAGCAAACGGTTGTTTATTCTAACACACCTACATTAGCGTGGACTGTATGTAAAACATGATTCCCTTAAGAATAATTCCCTCAGAAGATATCATAGTCACTTAATCCATAGGAAATTTTAGTCATCAGTTCAGTGTCACTCATCTGTCAACTGGGATTGGAAGTAATGTCCCTTCCGTGCCTTTCCACCAGCTTTTCTAGAAATCGATGATTCTCATTTACAAACCGAGATAATGTAACAAAATTTTTCTTTAACTACGCTACTCAAAACATGAAATTACCGCGGTTACGCGAAAAGAATGAGGATCTGCTTATGCTGCTTCCCCAGGATTTCCCATCGGTCAAGGTAACGTCCAACTGCAACTTCTAGCCTAATACTTATCCAGATCATCAGGATGCCCTTAAATCCAATGCAGATCTAATTACCAGCAACGGACCATCGACGAGGTTTCGGCAAAATTACAGGTAGTATGTCACTCCATGAGTACACAAAACGAAACGGCTTTTTGAAACCCTAAGGGAATATCCCAAACAAGGAACTCGCCATAGCCTCTTGTTAACACTAATATACACATGAGTGTATATCATCACTTGCGAGCAATAAGGTGTCCAAAATTTCCTGGGGTGCTCGGGGACTGCGCTGACCCGATAAACTGTAAGAGTGATGAAAGTGACAGCGAGCTGTAGAGGAAATTCCAGCGACCTTGTAAATAAGACTTATCATCAAGTGACTATCTAAGACGACTTACATGTAGAAAGAAACTCGTCAAGGGTTACAATGCCGTCGTGATTAGTGTCGTAACGAGTCAGTCCGACCTGCAGCTCGACATCCGCCATTGAATGGTAATTTTGGGGTGACAAAAACATTACGAGTTCCGAACGTGAAAGTTTTCCGTCTTTGTTCCTATCCACACCGTTAAATCGTACCTGTTCCGCATTTGCTACCTGAAAGATGTGCGAAAGTAATATGACTAGTAACAGTATTATTGTTAAAGGTGAGCAGCTAGAACTATTCTACAGCAAGTTTGCGTTTTTTTCAGTCGTTGTTGCGGTTGCTGCCCTGATGATGATGATGATGATGATTGTAATGGTGATAAACTGTAGTCAGCATGCACAGATGCAAAACCGACGATCAGAGGACTAGACGGTATGAACAGAAAAGAAACCCAAAACAAACTTGACAGCCCTTGTGTGACTTTATACTTTTCAAAGTGGACTTGGCTGGTAAAAGTTTACTAGTAGCTTAAATGGGATGGATCTGAAAAATGCTGGTAAATTTATGGACAGATTTACTGATTTGGCCACAAGCACGTAAATGTGTTGTGTATATTTTTAGTGGGAGGTGGAATCGAGGGATCCTGCTCTAAATCTCCTCTATCCGCTTCTAACAAAAAATTGCCGCAGATCAGAAGGTAAGTCAAAGAGCATCTTTTTGTTATTACACATGTGTTGATAAAAAATCAATTCGAGAATAATGCACTACAGCGTTTTTCATTGACTTTGATCTATGCAATTTAAACCAACCAAAAGCGTTGATATGACTCGGAATGAATTAATTCTTTGTGAACACGCTCTCAGTAGAAAATTATTAGCTGCATGTTTCCCAAAAATTATTGTTACCCTCTACCTAGGTGAAAGACTGGATATAGATTTGTGTCAACCCCTAGCCAGCGGAGAAAGAACAGCAGTGAACTCTGTCACCGACGTACCTAAGTCCGTTCAGCACCTTTCCGATGCCAAACTGCCATGCTACCAGAAGAAAGCACGAGGGCTAGGATACTGCCAGGTTGCCTAAGCCTAGGCAGGAGAAGTCTAGAGGCAGAGGTTGGTTTCGAACCACGGGCCTCCCGGTCAGTTGATTCGCGCCTTAACCACTGAGCCATCACACTTCCACATATCTCAGTTATATCTGTACAAAAAATGGGACAAACTCACTGTCATACCAGCCAATGGGAGTATTTTTGAAGTCTTTTGGAAAATTATCGCTACCTAAACTGACAATAGGTCTCGCTTTGCATAAGTGGAAACGTACTTGAGAATTCTAGCACTTGCATAAGTCTAACACCAATGAAATAAGGACAGGATGGAAGCCTTTAAACAATCAATTGCCGCAAGCTCTGGATATTCACACCAAAGACAATGTTGCTCAGTTTCCAAATCAGTGAAGAACACAGTTCAACTTACTCGAACAATGGTCTCTAGGTTTGGATCCACACGATAAACCAGTTCTTCTGAACTAAGTCCAAATGTACATTGCAAGTGCTCCTCAAATGATAGATATCCATCACTGTTTTCATCACATGACCTTAATTTCTCCTCAGCACGTGTTTTGTCGTTTGATCTTCAAAACATCAGCGAGATTTTATTAATGTTATGGTCATTCTAAGCAAAATATTGCAAGTAAACGCAAGTTAAAACTCATCTAAAGGGACCTGCCTTACAACATACACTTGAAAATCCCTATCCAGAAAAAGATATCAATAGGCAGGAAAGGAAAAAATTCGTTGTCATTTGGCAGTTACATGCTTCCTCATTTGGCATGTTTTGTGTTGCACTCTTCCAAGACTGCTTTTGTGGTAGTGTGCTTAGTCAACGTCTATGAGTAAGAGCAGCAGTGAAAGGTGGAACAAAAGCTCCTTCCATGAGCCTCAGCTTGTAATGCATATAACAGCCTTTAGCACTTTTAGCGTCTCCTATGAACCACACTACAGAGGAAAAAGTAGAGCTGTACACAACCTCGTGACAGAATACAGTCACGATGGAGGCTCAACGAAAGGATTTGTCCTAAGTAAAAGCAGGGGCGGAGTAAGCGGATCTTCTAACTTCCAGAACTAGATTAACATCAATGGCTATAAAGTGCCCAGTGCAAATGTCCAGTAGGGAACAAATAATTTACTCGGCCAAATCATTCACGCGCCATAGTCGGCTTTATAACAAAATGAACGATGAAGGGTAGTACAAAGCTTTGAGGAATTTATGCTCTCCTTAACATACATGACTTTGATGGTACTGAATATGCACTCATTTGCAAACTAATTTGGTTCTTTCGAGAGACTCACCTGGAACCCAGCTGAATCTCTCGTTTTTGATGTTCTCAGGCAACTGGATGTGCTGCACCAGGCCGCCTTATGTTTCCGTCGCTACGATATTTGAAATATCGCGATACATGTATAACTTTGTAATGCACTACTCATAAGGTTGCTGAAAATTCATCGACAGAATCCATCTCGAAAGAACTAAATTAGTCTGCAAATGAGAATATATTCACTAATTTAGTGCAATTTGGTTTCAAGTAGAACATAAGGTTGACGGAAACCCTGGGACTGCGCCTACCTGATGAGCCCCAAGAAGGGCGAAACCGGTCGTGGGCTGTCGATGGATTTTCAGCAACCTTACGAGTAATACATTACAAAGACTTTGATGGCAATTTTAAGTGGTTTTACAAAAGTTCTATCATTTTACTAAACGCTCGAAGTAATATATTTAAAAGGGAATAACAGATCCTTCATATCTAAAAACTGTCAAGAAGCCTGAAATGTCATCTCTTGATAACTAAATCCCAAACTTCCAGAAACGTTGAAACGACCATGCGAGTGAACTACAAGCAACTAACCTGTAAGACTTTTCTATCCACATTTCGAGTTCATTTATGTCAATGGCCCCATTTTTATCCTCATCTAAGACGTTGAAATACCGGTCCATCCTACTGACGGGTTGCTCCTTGAATGCCGGCAACCACAGCGGATTGATACCTGCAATCGAGTGAATAAACAGTAGACAGGAATTTTGAAAACTCATCGGGAAGCTCCACGAGATAGCTCGAGGCCAAGGTGATGATTATTTTGTTTAATTCAAATGGATTGCAACGAACCATAAAAGCACCTACACGTACGAAATGAAACAAATCTTCATAATGTTTACGTAGTTGGTACAAGGTGCCCTTTTCTGCATGGAAAACCAAAAGTAATGTAAGTATTTCACAACGTGTATTCCACCTATCTTTACGGAGTAGAGATGCGTCATCACTTCTATCACGGAATTTTCTGAATAATTCAGTTGCATATGAGAGCAAATATCCCACACTTGTCGGCGGGAAGATTTTTCCTGGTTCGCATCTTGACAAAACAAATAAGGTGGTTAAACCACTTCAAAAATTTTTAGGTTGAACATCACCTAACGCAAATTGATAATCCAAACAGCTGAGAACAGCAAAAAATTTGGTATCTCTCTTAATCATACAAAACGTGATGCGAAATCAATTTCCTACATAAGATGTCTGAAACTTCAATAGCCATTTCAGACGTCATTTTTTAGGTTTTTCTCCTCACATTTTAAAGCTGGCTGAATTTGCATATTTCCGACGTTGTCCTGATGACCAGCCTCTGTATATAATTCAGCAACAGATTTTCCGTTTAAGACACAGAATGGAAAGCTAACACGTCTAATTTTAAATGTGACTGGAAGGATGTCAAAACAAACATCCACGGAGCATCGGCAATCCATCATGTGTACAACATCTCAGAACTTACACTATGTGGTGATATGCCATCAAAATGCGTATACTGACCGTTAGGCTGTAAAGATGCAACAATTCTTGTTGTTGCTTCTGAGATGTAATCAGTCAACTGCCCGCTGAACAGTGTCCTGTCTGCTAGAGTTCAACAAGGTCTGCTAAGTTAACTGCAACTAACATAATTTCAGATCAATGAGAAAAAGCAAAGTGAACTTTCTTGCCTAGATATCCTGCTGAGTAAAAGGTGAAACAGTACTCAACCGAGTATTGTGTTGTGTGAGGCGTCGATTTTTCCTACAGCGGTTGGTAATGACGTTTGATTTCAAATCGGAAAGCGATTCTTTAGAAAAATCCTCTGCCCAAATTAGTTACGCTGCCAAGAAGCCTCACTCTGGGAGCATTAAAACCAGGCGCGGTGATTCGCACAGTCCCGATCCTAAAAGAAATCAACAAGGACTATTTCAGCGTAAATGTCTCTGTCTGGAACTCGAGTCCACCCTATCACTGCCTCCACAAGTTTCACTACACAGACATGCAGAGCAACAAGTCAAGGTTGGGCATCATTATTTACAAGCATATAGTCTAGCATGATACATTTTATTCACTTTACAGTTAGCCGAACGATTATCAGTGTAATACTTACAGGTCTTTCAGTTGCTGAGTACTAGGGCTTTGCCTCGAGATAATGCGGACACTGACTGTGTGCGCCATCAATATAGTCTCAAAATGGGAAAGACTGAGAGAATGCCAATCATCCTAAACCTGAAAACTGTGTGCGTCTCAAGGCTTTAAAAAGGCCAATGGTTCGTATTCGATGTTTCCCGATGACTAGGCAGTCAAACGAGACAGAAAGAAAAATGCCTTATCCCCAAGCGAACCTGTGGCAGTGTCCGGTTGAGAAAATGCCCCTGGATTTATCAACTAGCGTTGACAGCTCGCCAAAACGATGAAGGCAACAAGTGAAGTAGCTGTAGGCTCTCCTTTGCGCTTCATCTGCAAGCAATGTTCAGTTTGTCTCAAATTTCCCACATCCGCTGTTCACAACTGAAATGCGTGAATTTTTCCGAGGATAATTATGGTACCTTATGGACCGATAACCCGACCAATAGATTATGTTGCAGGTTGCAGTTTGAACCTTGCGGTTTCTGAGTGACTGTGGCTGTTCTTTTCCGAAGGAAAAGATTTCTGGTGCAGTATGCTTATCTGTTCTCTACAAACATCCCATAGGTAGCTGAAACCGCTCGCAGAAGACAGTGACAAACTTGTTGTTGCTGCCTCTATGGTACACATCAATTCCACTCACCACGCATCAGTTGTGATATTGCGATTTTTCACTGAGTAAACATAGATACGGTCGCTGTTACTGAAGTCCTCTAAGACAGATACTAGTTTTCCCTGAGACATGGCCTAACAGTCATTATTCAATGCTTTTATTTCACTGATAATATGTGCAAGGAGTTTTTTGTTGTTCACCAAGCAAGATGCTGAGCAGTCTCAAGGACTAATGCGGCACAACAGGAATTCGAAATCTGTCAGCTGCAAAACCTCAGGATTTACTTGGCATATGGAGCCATCCCTTTTGCTTTGTAAGTGTTCCGTTTTTATCAGCACGATATGTATCAGTTTAGGGAAAATTCGATTTCCATGATATCCTTTGCTAATAAGCTTCCCAGAGGGTCAGTGATCAAACTTCTCGTCATGTGAATTCGGCCTACTTACCGGAGAAAACTGCAGACTTTTGCATTTATTAGGACGGATGTCACACATAGTCCTCTGCTTCCAAAATTGATGAACCTCTTGATTAGTTTGCTCCTGGATAACTGAACCTTTTTACTGTCAACACCGATTCCCTTTGTGATATAGGACATTTGAAGAGTCTTCCAGTAGCTTATCGTTTCGCTTTATCCTAAACACTCTGGACGCATAAACAGATGCTCCCTCTTCAGTTGTGAACCTAAAGACAAAAAACTAAGCCGTTTTGACGTTTTTGCAGTGGCATCTTAAGTGGTCCGGGCACTTGCCAGTTTTGTTGTTTGCCAAGGCTGATCAGATTGTTTGCAGTTAATCTTAGTTAGCCAGGATCAAACGGATCATTAATAGTTGCCTCTAAGGAGCGTACATCACCGCCATGCTTTTCACTAGGAGATGTTCTTGTAGATTTCGGTACAGGAAGCAGCATCACATACTACATTCTGTATGGTACGTATGTAGCCCACGCCTTCTGGGTGTTTAAAGCCCTCTGACTCTCCAGTGTAACGGTGAACCCCTCGCAACGTTTCTGATGTTCTTATTCCATAACTTTGCAGCCAATTTACCAATCAATATACGGCAACAAGCTGACCAAGATGCGATTCCTACGACATCTTTCAGACCACTTCCCGCATTATTTTTGGAACCAGAAGGCATATGCCACGAGTACAAGTCCGTCAGTAAGAGAAATTTAACCGTTATGATTAGGCTGGAGTGTCACAATGGATCCAGTAAATAGCTTACTGCCTTTCAAAGCTTCTGGTAAGCCCGCAATGATCCCAAGAGTCCAGTGGATAGCGCAGAAATATATATTAATTATCAATGGCATCTGGGGAATGATTAAAATACCACACAACAGTCTCAATGAAGTATCACACTTGATGAAAGATTCAAACAATTTTCAGAATAATCGATGAGCTAACAGATCATGAAGAACCTATGTGCTTTTTGATTGTTCATATTTCTGAAGCTTGGATAAAATGGACGTTTCCGTAGGCCGTTGATTCAATGGGTACATCCACTAGCAGGAAGCTGGGCAAAACCTTAGATACATATCCTAAATTTCTCTGAAACCGTAGTTAGAAGGAAGGAATCTTTGACATAAAGCTTTGATAGTTGATGCTATTCATTCGAAAGCTTAAAACATACTCGGCGTCCACAATGGAATCCGCATTTTACTGGCTGCTAATGGCTTCGGGTATAGTCTCCGTATAGACGATGTAGCATTTTATGGAAATGCTGGTTTATTCACATTTTATCCTGTGTATTGGATTTGGAGATAGTCTCAAGACTACAATCATTTCGCCCTCATGTCTACTCAAACCCAGAATGGAGCAGGATTTCGCGACCTGTATGGGAAAAGGCCTCTATCGTTACGGCAGGCGTCCCACCCAACAAACCATGGTATTTCCCACAGCCAGTAAGTCTTCTTTGTTTTTTATAACGACCACTACGCGTTATACCAGGTACATTGCAAGGTGTAATCTTCTCAGACATAGTGACCCCTTGATGGGGCCGTTGGATGAATAGGTGGGTTTAGGGTGTAGCTTTCGTCTAATTTGTGCAGTGCATCCGCATTCACTGTCTCCCTCGTGAGTTGTTTTGTTCCACATCCCGCAGCGTGAATCACCAGACAAGAAGTGACTTGTCTGCAACGTTGACTGACGACAACAGTTTCTATAACGAATCGCGACTTCGCACTTGGGTCCGTGGATATCCTCGCACATGAACATCTTTAGTGAGTCATTTGGTGTTGTTACTTAGATGGGATCTGCCAAGGCGTCCCGACAAGCTAGCTGGTGTGGCGTTTTGTACCTTTATTTTACTTCCATGTAACACTACGACAACAGTTTCTATAACGAATCGCGACTTCGCACTTGGGTCCGTGGATATCCTCGCACATGAACATCTTTAGTGAGTCATTTGGTGTTGTTACTTAGATGGGATCTGCCAAGGCGTCCCGACAAGCTAGCTGGTGTGGCGTTTTGTACCTTTATTTTACTTCCATTGTAACACTACGTATTTCATCAATTGCATAATAGTTTTTTGTTTGAATACGAAAAACTACAAAAACGCGCACCTGTACAATTTCACATAATACAGGCGTGGTCACGTGCTTCGACTCTCTCTTCTGATTTCGCTCGCGCTTGCAGCGGTCATTCGCGAGTCTCATGTACTAACTCTGGTACCAAAACATTTCAGACATCTTCGGAATCTATTATATGTGGGAACTGTTCAGAAGACCTCTGGACCAACATAATTGGATCATTATTTATTCGCTGATCTGGGCCAATGACGAACTATTTTAAAGAGAACAATTGTTGGTGAGTCTGTTCCGTCTGATCTCTTTATTTTTGTACACCCAACCTAGCGTAAGCATTTTTATTTCTTTGCCACACACTCCTGGTAAACTAACTTATTTAGTAGCCAGACCACTACACTGGACACGCTCAATGAACGTTTCGTGCTTCTTGCGTCTTTAGTAGACAA